GCAGCCTCCTTCGGGTTCCTTCCGTCCGGAGACAGAGAGTTGAACCGATCAGTCTCTCAGAAAGTATCTGGAGTTCTGAGATATTCAGTCACCCACCCACGAGGGTGTCATGCGGCACAAGGCCTTTTTTAAATGTGGGCATTCCCGAGCCATTAGGCTCAGCCAAAAAATAGCCCATTTGAACCCGTATAAACGGGTTCAGGGCCCGATTTAACCTCCCGAAGGAGACTTCGCCCTTCGGCGTAGCCTCCTTCAGGTTCCTCCGTCCGGAGACAGAGAGTTGAACCGATCAGTCTCTCAGAAAGTATCTGGAGTTCTGACTATATTCAGTCACCCCCCCACGAGGGTGTCATGTGGCACAAGGCCTTTTTAACGTGGGCATTCCCGAGCCATTAGGCTCGGCCAAAAAATTGCCCATTTGAACCTGCATAAACGGGTTCTGGGCCGGTTTAACCTCCCCGAAGGAGACTCCGCCCTTCGGCGTAGCCTCCTTCGGGTTCCTCTCCGTCCGGAGACAGAGAGTTGAACCGATCAGTCTCTCAGAAAGTATCTGGAGTGCTGAGATATTCAGCCACCCACCCACGAGGGTGTCATGCGGCACAAGGCCTTTTTTAATGTGGGCATTCCCGAGCCATTAGGCTCAGCCAAAAAATAGCCCATTTGGACCCGTATAAACGGGTTCAGGGCCGGTTTTCCCTCCCCGAATGAGACTTCGCCCTTCGGCGTAGCCTCCTTCGGGTTCCTCTCCGTCCGGAGACAGAGAGTTGAACCGTTCAGTCTCTCAGAAAGTATCTGGAGTTCTGACTATATTCAGTCACCCCCCCCCACGAGGGTGTCATGTGGCACAAGGCCTTTTTAACGTGGGCATTCCCGAGCCATTAGGCTCGGCCAAAAAATAGCCCATTTGAACCTGCATAAACGGGTTCTGGGCCGGTTTAACCTCCCCGAAGGAGACTCCGCCCTTCGGCGTAGCCTCCTTCGGGTTCCTCTCCGTCCGGAGACAGAGAGTTGAACCGATCAGTCGTTCAGAAAGTATCTGGAGTGCTGAGATATTCAGCTACCCACCCACGAGGGTGTCATGCGGCACAAGGCCTTTTTTAATGTGGGCATTCCCGAGCCATTAGGCTCAGCCAAAAAATAGCCCATTTGAACCCGTATAAACGGGTTCAGGGCCCATTTACCTCCCCGAAGGAGACTTCGCCCTTCGGCGTAGCCTCCTTCGGGTTCCTCTCCGTCCGAGACAGAGAGTTGAACCAATCAGTCGCTCAGAAAGTATCTGGAGTGCTGAGATATTCAGCCACCCACCCACGAGGGTGTCATGCGGCACAAGGCCTTTTTTGATGTGGGCATTCCCGAGTCATTAGGCTCAGCCAAAAAATAGCCCATTTGAACCCGTATAAACGGGTTCAGGGCCGGTTTTACCTCCCCGAAGGAGACTTCGCCCTTCGGCGTAGCCTCCCTCGGGTTCCTCTCCGTCCGGAGACAGAGAGTTGAACCGCTCAGTCGCTCAGAAAGTATCTGGAGTGCTGAGATATTCAGCCACCCACCCACGAGGGTGTCATGCGGCACAAGGCCTTTTTAATGTGGGCATTCCCGAGCCATTAGGCTCAGCCAAAAAATAGCCCATTTGAACCCGTATAAACGGGTTCAGGGGCCAATTTTACCTCCCCGAAGGAGACTTCGCCCTTCGGCGTAGCCTCCTTCGGGTTCCTCTCCGTCCGGAGACAGAGAGTTGAACCGATCAGTCTCTCAGAAAGTATCTGGAGTTCTGAGATATTCAGCCACCCACCCACGAGGGTGTCATGCGGCACAAGGCCTTTTTAATGTGGGCATTCCCGAGCCATTAGGCTCAGCCAAAAAAAAGCCCATTTGAACCCGTATAAACGGGTTCAGGGCCTGGATTTTACCTCCCCGAAGGAGACTTTGCCCTTCGGCGTAGCCTCCTTCGGGTTCCTCTCCGTCCGGAGACAGAGAGTTGAACCGATCAGTCTCTCAGAAAGTATCTGGAGTTCTGAGATATTCAGCCACCCACCCACGAGGGTGTCATGCGGCACAAGGCCTTTTTTTAATGGGCATTCCCGAGCCATTAGGCTCAGCCAAAAATAGCCCATTTGAACCCGTATAAACGGGTTCAGGGGCCGATTTACCCTCCCGAAGGAGACTTCGCCCTTCGGCGTAGCCTCCTTCAGGTTCCTCTCCGTCCGGAGACAGAGAGTTGAACCGATCAGTCTCTCAGAATGTATCTGGAGTTCTGAGATATTCAGCCACCCACCCACGAGGGTGTCATGCGGCACAAGGCCTTTTTTAATGTGGGCATTCCCGAGCCATTAGGCTCAGCCAAAAAAATAGCCCATTTGAACCCGTATAAACGGGTTCAGGGCCGATTTACCTCCCCGAAGGAGACTTCGCCCTTCGGCGCAGCCTCCTTCGGGTTCCTCTCCGTCCGGAGAGACAGAGAGTTGAACCGATCAGTCTCTCAGAAAGTATCTGGAGTTCTGAGATATTCAGCCACCCACCCACGAGGGTGTCATGCGGCACAAGGCCCTTTTTAATGTGGGCATTCCCGAGCCATTAGGCTCAGCCAAAAAATAGCCCATTTGAACCCGTATAAACGGGTTCAGGGCCATTTTACCTCCCGAAGGAGACTTCGCCCTTCGGCGCAGCCTCCTTCAGGTTCCTCTCCGTCCGGAGACAGAGAGTTGAACCGATCAGTCTCTCAGAAAGTATCTGGAGTTCTGAGATATTCAGTCACCCACCTACGAGGGTGTCATGCGGCACAAGGCCTTTTTTAATGTGGGCATTCCCGAGCCATTAGGCTCAGCCAAAAATAGCCCATTTGAACCCGTATAAACGGGGTTCAGGGCCGATTTTACCTCCCGAAGGAGACTTCGCCCTTCGGCGTAGCCTCCTTCGGGTTCCTCTCCGTCCGGAGACAGAGAGTTGAACCGATCAGTCTCTCAGAAAGTATCTGGAGTTCTGAGATATTCAGTCACCCACCCACGAGGGTGTCATGCGGCACAAGGCCTTTTTTAATGTGGGCATTCCCGAGCCATTAGGCTCAGCCAAAAAATAGCCCATTTGAACCCGTATAAACGGGTTCAGGGCCGGTTTTACCTCCCCGAAGGAGACTTCGCCCTTCGGCGTAGCCTCCTTCGGGTTCCTCCGTCCGGAGACAGAGAGTTGAACCGATCAGTCTCTCAGAAAGTATCTGGAGTTCTGAGATATTCAGTCACCCACCCACGAGGGTGTCATGCGGCACAAGGCCTTTTTTTTTAATGTGGGCATTCCCGAGCCATTAGGCTCAGCCAAAAAATAGCCCATTTGAACCCGTATAAACGGGTTCAGGGGCCATTTTTACCTCCCCGAAGGAGACTTCGCCCTTCGGCGTAGCCTCCTTCGGGTTCCTCTCCGTCCGGAGACAGAGTTGAACCGATCAGTCTCTCAGAAAGTATCTGGAGTTCTGAGATATTCAGCCACCCACCCACGAGGGTGTCATGCGGCACAAGGCCTTTTTTAATGTGGGCATTCCCGAGCCATTAGGCTCAGCCAAAAAATAGCCCATTTGGACCCGTATAAACGGGGTTCAGGGCCAGTTTTACCTCCCGAATGAGACTTCGCCCTTCGGCGTTGCCTCCTTCGGGTTCCTCTCCGTCCGGAGACAGAGTTGAATCGATCAGTCTCTCAGAAAGTATCTGGAGTTCTGAGATATTCAGTCACCCACCCACGAGGGTGTCATGCGGCACAAGGCCTTTTTTAATGTGGGCATTCCCGAGCCATTAGGCTCAGCCAAAAAATAGCCCATTTGAACCCGTATAAACGGGTTCAGGGCCGGTTTAACCTCCCCGAAGGAGACTTCGCCCTTCGGCGTAGCCTCCTTCGGGTTCCTCTCGCCCGTAGGAAGAGAGTTGAACCGTGCAGTCGCTCAGAAAGTATCTGGAGTTCTGAGATATTCAGCCACCCACCCACGAGGGTGTCATGCGGCACAAGGCCTTTTTTAATGTGGGCATTCCCGAGCCATTAGGCTCAGCCAAAAAATAGCCCATTTGGACCCGTATAAACGGGTTCAGGGCCGGTTTTACCTCCCCGAATGAGACTTCGCCCTTCGGCGTTGCCTCCTTCGGGTTCCTCTCCGTCCGGAGACAGAGAGTTGAACCGATCAGTCTCTCAGAAAGTATCTGGAGTTCTGACGCTGACTCTATCCCCAGAGCTGACTTATATAAGAGGGACCAGTCCATTACTAGTTAGAAGGTGGGTGCGCCCCAACAATAACAAAATGAACGAGTAAAATAAAAATGAATGAAAAAGAAGGAAAACTACGTAATGAAAATGACAGAGAAAGAAAGAAAAATAATGTATAAAAAAAAATAAGGAAGAATGATAAAAGAAGGAAACGAAGATTAATAGGATACCATAACAAAATGAATGAGAAAAAAGATAGAAAAAGAGAATACCTTAAAAATTATGATAAAAACAAGCTAACATAAAAGACAGAAAAAAAGAATGAAAGAAAGAAAATAGGTTATTGTAAAATGAATGAGAATGTAAAAAAGAAAGAAAGGAAAAGAAAAAATCATGATAAAAACGAAGTAACAAAAAAGAAAGAATTAAAGAAAGAAAGAAAGAAAGAAAGAAAGAAAATAGATTACCATAAAATGAATGAAAAAGAAAGAAATAAAGAAAGAAGAAAGAAAAAAGCTACGAACTTATTGATCTAATCTTGAGCGATAATGAAAGGATTTGATTTTTTTTTTTGAAAGTTTTGAAAAGAATGGCGGTAAATGAGAATTATGAAAAAAAGTCTAAAGAAAAAAAAAAGGAAACACGGAAATTTGTAAGTGAAAATTGATTACACACAGAAAAGCGAGAGGCATGAAGTGATTTTTGGTTGTTTCAATAAACCCAACCACCTGATCAAGCCAACCGGGCGTACGGCCTTCCGGCAGACCAGGCCACCAGAGTCACACGGCTAAGGTTCACTCCTGGATGTACTCCAATGTAAAATGATCGCCTGTCCGCTTGGCGAAGTGCCAGATAACAGAGCAACAATGACCAACAAGTTACTAAAACTACTCTTTCTCCTTCCCCCTCTCTCCCTCCCCATCTCTCTCTCTCTCTCTCTCTCTCATTTTCCTCTTTCCTCATCAGTGGCTCTCTTTCCTTTCTCTTTATAACCCTCTCTCTAGTTCACTCTCAATATCTCCCTCTTTCTCTCTAATTTTCTCTTTCCTCATCAGTGACTCTCTTTCCTTCCTCTTTATAACCTATCTCTATTTCAACCTCTATATCTTCCCCTATCTCTTTCTCTTCATTTATCTTTCCTCATCAGTGACTCTCTTTTTATTCCTCTTTATAACCCTCTCTCTATTTCACTCTCTATATGTCACCCTCTCTGTCTATTTTTCTCTTTCCTCATCAGGAACTTTTTTTCCCTCCTCTTTGTAACCATTACTTCATTTCCCTATCTAAATCGGCCTCTCTCACTATTTTTCTTTCCTCATCAGTGCCTCTCTTTCCTTCTTCTTTTTAACCTTTTTTCTATTTCACTCTCTATATCTCCCCCTCTCTCTTTATCTTTCTATTTCCTCATCAGTGGCTCTCTTTCCATCCTCTTCATAACCCTCTCTTTTCATCCTCTTTATAACCCTCTCTCTAGTTCACTCTCAGTATCTCCCTCTTTTTCTCTAATTTTCTCTTTCCTCATCAGTGATTCTCTCTTTATAACCATTTTTTCTATTTCGCTCTCTATATCTCCCCCTCTCTCTTTATCTTTCTATTTCCTCATCAGTGACTGTCTTTCCTTCTTCTTTATAACCCCTCTCTAATTCTCTCTATATCTCCCCCCTCTCTTTATCTTTCTATTTCCTCATCAGTGGCTCTCTTTCCTTTCTCTTTATAACCCTCTCTCTAGTTCACTCTCAATATCTCCCTCTTTCTCTCTAATTTTCTCTTTCCTCATCAGTGATTCTCTCTTTATAACCTTTTTTCTATTTCGCTCTCTATATCCCTCCCTCTCTCTTTATCTTTCTATTTCCTCATCAGTGACTGTCTTTCCTTCTTCTTTATAACCCTCTCTCTAATTCACTCTCTATATCTCCCCCTCTCTCTTTATCTTTCTATTTCCTCATCAGTGGCTCTCTTTCCTTTCTCTTTATAAACCTCTCTCTAGTTCACTCTCAATATCTCCCTCTTTCTCTCTAATTTTCTCTTTCCTCATCAGTGACTCTCTTTCCTTCCTCTTTATAACCCTCTCTCTATCTCACACTAAATAAAATAATCGGGAATAAACATTCAGGTTAGTTTTCTGGCCGACCAGAATGTGTGTTCTTGCCAGTTTTGTTACAATAACCACAGAAAATAGGCTAACGTCCGGCTGGTAAAAAGCCAGCAGACAGGGCTGAGTTAATAAAAACAGGGAGTGAGAAAACGTGTATTCTGGTAAAAGAGAGACAATAGGAGTAAGTCAGAGACATGATTATGAGAAAAAGTGGTTAAAAGAATTGGCATTAAAAATGTATATTGTGCATTGCCATGATTTCAAATTCATTCAAGTACAGAAGTTCAAATATCTGCTATATTCGCTGCTTACCTCTGTCCCCTTCACCTTCAGTATGCCTCGTGAGTGCCAAACGCGCTAAGCCCTCTTTCCTCAATAAGTGTCCGAGAAATTTCAACTGTCTTTTTATGATTCTAATTAGAAGCGTTCTTTTTCTTTCCATTTTTCCTGAAAACTTACTCATTGCTTACATCTTCAATTCATGGGATTCTTACTAGCCTTCTGGAAAACAACATTCCTATTGCCTCAAGTCTCTTCTTCATCTATGATGAGATTGTCCAACATTCACTACTATATAGGGTTGATTGACTGATTCGTTTGCTACAGCTTATCAATACTTAGTAGGTTATTTAAGGCCAGGAAATATTTTTAAATTGTAAGAATTTTCTTTGAGGATTATAATGGTGTAGTGATACAATTTTTTACTAATTAGATATTTTTTTAATTAGTTGATAACATGATTTACTTATCTATCTATCTATCTATCTATCTATCTATCTATCTATCTATCTATGTTACTCGGTGTCTCTAAGTTTGTTTATTTTTCCTTTGTGTCAGTTTATTTATCTTCCTCAAAATCGTACTTCACACACTATTTGGATTTTAAGACTTACTTTCTGTCAATGTGGACGATTTACCAATACCAGCCGCTAGAATGTCGATTTTAAAACAATCCCCACCCTGGCTGGCTTTTTACAAGATATGTGCAACCCTGAAGCAACTATTGTCCTGACTAAATAACCTTACAAATTGACCGTTACAATTTCTCTCTGTAATAGGGGAAGTCAAAAATTATCCTCACACATATAACTACAGACAAAAGTTCATTTTCTCCATCAAGACATTCATTTCTGTAGTTCACTGCTACCAGCAAGCAGAAAATTATTTTTCTCCTGATGATGGCCATGTTGGCTGAAACTAGTCGAAGAATCTAAATGAAATAATAATAAAAACGAAGGAATATTAATATACAACCCAGTATGTCTAAAGATTTTAATTTTTAATATTTTTTATTGTTCAATATATATATATATATATATATATATATATATATATATATATATATATATATATATATATATATATATGTTCTTGTCTAATATATACATATTAACAATAAAAATTCACGATAATTATCTGGGTCAGCACAACATAACCTAAACACGACCACGAAAAAATTACATTCAGACCCAACATTCCCTTCTTCTGTTTACGGGGGAAGGTTTTTAAGACCAAATGTATAACTTAATATATATATATATATATATATATATATATATATATATATATATATATATATATATATTAACATTGAAGTCAGCATTTTAACCCATAAACATAGCATACCTTAAAACTATATTTTTCATATATATATATATATATATATATATATATATATATATATATATATATATATATATATATATAATTAAGTAATTCATCGAGTGATATATGTTGAATAGTTTACAAACATTATGTCTGCTTATTTTTATCCTAATCTCTTCATATTTACGAATATTTTCCCGTATATTGCAATCAAATGAGGCAAGAAATGCGCTGTTACGGTGAAAATAAGCAGGCATAATGTTTAATTTATTCGATCAGACCTGTCTAAAAGAGAATTTGCTACCTAATACACACACACACACACACACATATATATATAGAGAGAGAGAGATAGATAGATAGATAGATAGATAGATAGATAGATAGATAGATAGATAGATAGATAGATATTTTCCCCTCCAGACAGAGTTTATAATTTTGGGATCACGCGAACACAAATATTTACACTTAAATAAACAAAAATAAGTAAAATAAATCAATAATAAATTTAAAACGTTAACAAAGAACACTATAAATAACCCCCAAACTTCATCTGGTTCTACAATTATTTCTACTCATTAGCCCTTAGAATAAATGGAAAAAAAACTTGCCACAATGCATCACTGACATGTATACATAAATCACCAAGCAAAAACAACGCATATGACCTGACGATTGCGCATTACAATGAAACCGACACTCGCCGCTGGGTCTTCACTTCAATGACCAATTATACACACACACACACACACACACACACACACACACACATATATATATATATATATATATATATATATATATAATGAACAATTCTCGTTGCATCAAAGAAATTATTAAGTGCTGATTACAGGAGCGACAATTTTCCAGTGATATGTAATCGTATAATAAAACTACGCGAATTAGACCAAGTCAAAACAGCACCCAAATTACAATATGACAGATTCCTGAATAACCCGAATTGCAAAGAGATATATACTGACGACGTTGAAAACAAATACAATGAACTAAATAAGACTGGAATCTAAACTAAATGTGACTTATTTAACCTTTACATTTAGTCGATCCTACGAGAGATTTAAAAGTTCTACTGGTGTCTACAGTCTACATGCAGATGACACACGGTGTAGCAGACACACAAAAAAAACACCTTCATCGCTTGCAGGCGAATTCAAGTGAAGATACTTTCGCGACATTGTACAGTCGATTTTAATGTATGATGCCACTGCTTGGACATTTACTAAAACCCTAGAGTCTAAACTCGTTGCAACCTACACCCGGATGCTGAGAGCTGTACTTAAAATCTCCTGGAGAAAACATCTAACTAAATCACAGCTCTATGGACCCATTCCCTGATATTTCAACAATCTTAAGCGAACACAGAATGGGCTTTACAGAAGGCTGCTGGTGAGAAAAACAAAAACTCGGGAGTGATCTACTGCTTTGGACAAATAGCTATGGCACAAAACGAATAGATCACTCAGTATCCATCTACACATGACCATATATATCATGATACAATACCTCCAAAATGACCTTCCGATCCTGATTCAGGACCGTGATAGACTCATAAATATCCGAGCTAATTCGACTGAATAAAATAATAAACTTTCGTTTTCGCTAGGACATTTTCGCTCCACATTGTTGTAAACAATCCATTTTTCATCGGCCGTAATCGTTCTTTTCGAAAATGAGTCGTCCCGTTGCGCTTAAGCAGAGAAACGCAACTAAAATGCGGTCTATTGATTTTTTTTCTTGTTAAATCGTGAAGCATGTAAACATCGCAACGATTCACGTATGAATGGTTTTTCAAAAGCTTTACAACGTAATATCTCATGTCGTGCGATGTGGATTAACTATAATCAGCTTTTTGATTGGAACATAATCAAGTGTTACAGACCTGTAGAAACTATCTCTATCCTCCAGATCAAAATTTCCACTTCTGAACCGAGCAAACCACTTAGAAATAATACACTTTGCTATGGCACCATCCCAATAAACAGCACATATCTTTTTTTTTGTTTTTGTACGACGTCCCCGCCGCCTTTTCCGATACAAAAGAGGATCAAATGATGAAAATGTTCCTCATTCTCCGGTGTTTGAAATATTTCAGAATATACATGTATGTGATAAATCTCAGTGACGTGTGAAACGAAATTACGTGCCCGAATGAAAACTATTGAATAATGTTGTGAACATTTTTCCGTTCAAATATACAGGGTGCAATTTGTAAATTGTTGCCATTTTATATTTTTTAATTTCGCGCATGCGCATTGTATTTTTTTTATTTTATTTTATCGACTGCACGGTACAGTAGGGTCCGTTGAGAAAAAGAGCAACATGACGTAATTCACTCCGCCAGAAATTTGCTAACGGCATGCTGTTCTGCTTGGTCTTTGCGCCAAAGCTCCAATACGAACATTTCAGAGTGTCTAGGTGTCAATCTGAGGAGTGTGCAGAGGATTTAGAAAGAGTTGGATAATAATAAGTCAAGATTTACTCTTTTCTTTTCAAGTTATTTTTGTGTAATTTTGGCAAATCTATTTAATAAATTAGATGTCAATATTATTTCATTTTTGCGCAATTTAGACGACAATTTATCCATCACACCCTATAGGTGTGTGTATGTTTGTGTGTTTGTGTGTGTGTGTGTGTGTGTGTGTATAATTGATCATTTCGAAATTTCTGATGCAACTCTGGCACAAATACAATTTAATTGCTGCAAACATCATCTCTTGAAGAGTTCGAACTTGCTGTTGAAAACCGATCAAACTGGAGAAACACCTGCCACCGAGGAATAACTAACTTTGAAAAGAATCGTCTCAAGCATCTGAGAGAATTAAGAATTAACACTAAATCTCGGGCTAATAGACCAGCCGATATGACAGTCAACCCGTCAGCATGTCCCTCGTGTCGACTTGTTTGCAAATCCCGTGCAGGATTGTTGCCTCATACGAGATATAAACATAAAAGCTGAACTGAAAGACACACTCATGCATCGAAAACGATGGGAGAGTCCGTCATCATCACAGATAGATAGATAGATAGATAGATAGATAGATAGATAGATAGATATGAACAGACATAGATAGATAGATAGATATGAACAGACATAGATAGATAGATAGATAGATAGATAGATAGATAGATAGATAGATAGATATGAACAGACATAGATAGATAGATAGATAGATAGATAGATAGATAGATAGATAGATTCTATTTTTAAGGAAAGAACATCCGCTTCCCTCAGATTATATTCTCGCAAGATTCATATATGTTCAGTTTTGTACCCGAAACGTAAACAAATCAATTTCAAAAGAACTTACGGATTTGAATATTTTACATCAGACATTTCAATTAGTTCAAATATTATTAAAGCGGATAATTTGGATTTGAAATAGATGCTCTGTTCTTATTTATTAAATGATGTGTATTACGTCTATCGGTCTGTGTATTCGAGAAATCTTAGTTAAGAAAATGCGCCTCTTTTGTCGGTGAACAGAAACACGGAACTTATGTAAAGGTTTGAAAATGCAGAAAAGCATTCTTCTTTACAGATTCTTTTCAACCCACATTTAGTTGAAGAATACGTTAGTAAATATTAATTTGACAGTATTTTTTCTACTCCTTATATTTTTCTTTTCTCGAGGTACTATTTTTCTACTCCTTATATTTTTCTTTTCAGTTATGTGTCATGCGTGATACACGCTCATGCGATCATGCATCTTTTGATACATGACTGACGAGGCAGATTTTTCCAGGATACCACTCTTGATTATTCATAACAGAGGCATTAGATCTAACTAAAGAATATGTATCTATACCAGAAGATAAAATAAATTAAAGCTTAATTAATGCACTGTCGTAAGTCTTTACTGTACCATAACGAGGCATTATGGATTAAGAAAGGCATTAGCGGCAATTTTGACAACCCAATGGGAGCGTATGATGGGGCAGAATTATGTGAGTTGGTAGGATATTTATTATTGAATAAGCTAAATGAATTTATTGACCCAAAGGAATCATGTTTAGGTTATCCACCAATTCATCTAATGCTAGTATTAGGATTACGAGATAGCACTGGAAAAAAGTGGATACAAAACCAAGCTAGTCTATGTGAATACAGATAATTCTTCCAATATATGCGAAAGGTGGAAAAATAGGGCTAGGAAAATATTATGGTTTACCCCACCATACAATTTA